TATGTTTATACACAGATACCTAACTATGTGTATCTATATGTTTATACACAGATACCTAACTATGTGTATCTGTATGTTTATACACAGATACCTAACTATGTGTATATACATGTATGTTGTTGTTTAACGCTGTTGAGTCAGTTCCTACTCACAGCAACCCTGTATAGGGTTTCTGAGGCTCCATTACTTTACAGCAGTGGTTTGTAGTTCAGTGCTTATCATACAGATCCACCGCACTCCCTCTATATGCATGTGTTTGTTGTTGTTGTTAAGTGCTGTTGAGTAGGTTCAAACCTACCTTGAGGTCAGGTGCTTATCCTAAGGTACCACACCAGGATTCCATGCGTGCATAAAATATAATGCATTTACATAACATCCATATAGTTTTAATATGTGCGCATATTCTATGTAGGTTGCAGTAACAGGAAGCAACATTTTATCTTGAATGATATGGTTTTTCTAAATCTCTCTATATATTTTTTCATGTAATTGTTTTCCCATATGATGAGGTACAGATTTTAACCATAGACTATAGACATGGCTCTAAAATTGTGTGGTGTCCCACCAATGAACCCTATTGGGTTTGCATATGAAACATGGAAGACGGCTGTTAGTGTTTTAACTTCTGAAGAGATACTGCCACCAACCGTCTCACAATTCTCTCTCTGTAGCTGGCGAGTCCTCTCAGTACTGGTCCTCGGGATTCACCACTTTACAGATGTACATAGATGCTGCCATTATAGAGGTAACTATGACGAAGGAAGAAAATGAAAGCTAAGCCACATTTAATGATTACGTCCTAATTCTTCGCAATAGAGCTTGGTTTGACTGGCATCAAATATGCAAATTGTATAACTTATTATGACTTTTTATAAAAATTAAAGGAAGAAGTCATGTTTTATGATTTAGTACTCTTGATAATTCAAAGGACATGTCTCAGCATGTGTATGTAGATCAGTATCATATTGATTGACTATGGGTAACATGCATGAAAAGTCTGTATTTATACTTGCCCCCAGAATACAAACGATTTACTTAAAAGAACGTGAATGTCTTAGTCGTAGTAGTAGATTTTATTTCAATTCATCTAGTACATATTTGCCAACCCATTGAATGCTTAAAAGTCCTGTGAAATGGATGCTCCTGTTCTGCCCTTTTTATATTTGAAAGTGAAAGACAGGGAGATCAGCTGACTTCTAACACTACGTAGTGGATGTTGTTGCTTGGTGACAGTGAGTCATTTCCAACCCATAGCGACCCTGTATAGGGTTTCCACCCTAAATTCAGAATAAATCTGTCTTGTACTACAACATACTGAAGCTCTGTCCAGCCCTGAGCCGCCCTCACCACCATGGCTACCTTTGATCAGTCTTACTCACACTATAATTCAAAGCCATCGAATCTTTCATTTCGGTATACAAAAATAAAATCAATAGTGATACAGCTGGAAACAAGACCTAAACAAGAGCCCCATCTCTGTTAGTTGCTGGGTATATGAATTTGGATTTTTTATTTCATTATTATTATTGTTGTTAGGTGCCATCAAGTCAGTACCGACTCATAGTGACCTCTTACACAACAGAATGAAACACTGCCCAGTCCTGGGCCA